TGTTAAAATACAAGGGTTGCTGACTTGTATTTTGGAGATTCCATACCAAGATGCACAATTTACAAAGGTTTCCAACAAGTCCAAACTGGGAGAAAGGGAGAAAAAGGCTAGCCTTTGAATGATGGCTGAGGGGCTGGGAAGTTGGCTCAGTAGTAGAGCGCTTGCCTGAGGCCCTGGGTTTGATTCCTCAGCACCATATAAGCAAAAAAAAGAAAAAAGCCAGAAGTGGTGCTGTGGCTCAAGTGGTAGAGCGCTAGCCTTGAGCTGAAGAGCTGAGGGACAGCGCCCAGGACCAGAGTTCAGGCCCCAAGAACAACAATAAACAAATAAATAAATAAAATAAAAAAGTAAAAGAAAAGGTTTTTTGCCTTGAGTAAACTAAGAAGGTGCTAAATTATTTCTGTCTGCTGAATTAAAAGATTAAAAATGATTTCTATTTGGACTTATTTCTGTACATATATCACTTTATAGGACCACCAATGCCAAAACACATTAGAATTTTTTAAAAGAAAATTCAAAGTTCCAACCGTTCAAAACAACCATTGATGTAATGGATGTAGTTAAAAGCCTAGGTGTAAGTAGAAAAAAAATCCACTGGGACATGACAAATTATACAATTCTTTAATCATTTACATAGCATGAGACCAAAGGAAGGTATTTCTTAGAAGAAGATCACAAAGTGCAATATGTATGTGCATCTGATCATATAAAATAATATTTATCAAAATGAACTCCAGGAAATGGAAACAAGAGGGTTCTTTTTTCTTGTTGCTGTTTTTGTTTTCTTTCCCATTGTTCATTTATCTGTCTTTGGGAAGGTAAGGTATCACAGAAATGGAGGGACCAAGGGTGAACAAATGCAGCAGTGGTACTAGACACTATGTTGAAAATGAAGTGTACAACTTGTGCATGGGGATGGAAGAGAAAAAGTGGGAGAGAGAGAGGAAAAAGGTGACATTGTTCAAAAGAAATGTACTCCTTATCTGTAGCCCCTCTGTACATCACCTTTACAATAACAATAAAAATGCATGAAAAGAGTGAAAAAAATAAAAGCAGCAGGCTACAAAAGCCCTCCAATGTCCATCTGTCCAGTGAAATATGTCCAGACCACAGGTGACACCATTGGATCATGGGCTTACCACAACTCACTAATAGTATCTCACTAAAGCTCCCAAACAAATGTTTTGAATCAAGTCAGAATTTCACTCGGAAAATTCTCATTCAGCTAAACACTATATTTCTCATTTTAAATTGATATATTTGCATTGGTGCCACTGTGGTGCCATTTTGAGAGAGAATTGAGAGAGAATTTGAGAGTAGGACACATTGGATATTGACAGGCATCTGAGATTTCAAGAATCTGAATACAGCTGTGTCCCACTCAGATTTATCTAGCCTTCTAACCACACAGGAAGACTTCCAGTCTATCTCTACTTCACTGATATACTCCTGGCCTCAAAGAAAGTAAGATTTCCCCTAAGAACTCTCCTAAAGAATCAACCCATTAATGCCAAATGTAGCATACTCTGAAAGTATGATACTAAAAGCAGATGTGGTCAGGAAATATCAAAAGAGCCAAGGAAGAAGAAGTGTGAGAAAGTGGGACTCAAGGAGTAAGGAATTTATAAAGGAGTGTCCACAAAGTGAAACTCAATAAGATGAGGACTAACAGTTATTCAATTTACAAGTGACGTCACTTTATCCAGAGCATTTTCAGCACTGTAATGGGGCAGAGGCCAGCTACTGTGAACCAGGAATAAAGTCCTGTCACAGCAGGTGTCATCACAGCAGAAAATAATCAATTACAGAGTCTAAAGAGTGAAGGAGACAGGGGAGTGAAGGCAAGGGAGAATAGGTGAATATTGTCTTTTCACAAAGAGAGTGAAACAGCCCAGGAACATATGTTTACAGTGAAGAGGGAGAGTCCAATTGGAGTGGGGAAGACATGGTTTCTCCAATAGAAAATCCCATCTCTTCCTACTTTGCTGTCTGCTCTTCTCTGCCTGTCCCATAAACAATGAAATGGCCTACAAAAAGACTGTGTCTGCAGCCTTCTAAGTCTATTCCTCCTGAAGTCCTCACTCACTGGAATTCTAACCTCCCTGGCTTCTTCCCACTTCCTAAGCCACTCCTCAGCTTGCTTTCCGCCTTTGCCTTTTTACATGTTAAAGTGAACCGCGTGCTGGTTGCTTATGCACCTGAAATCTGGAGAACTGAAGTTCAAAGCCAGCCCTAATAGAAAAGCCTGAGAGACTCCATCTCCAAATAATGAGCAAAACATCAGGCTTGAGGCATAGCTCAGGTTTTAGAATGCTATCCATGAACAAGCAAGCCAATCAAGAGAGTATGGGCACTGAGTTCACACTCTTAAAAAAAAGTCTGTCCCCAGTTATCACACTTTCCACAGTCATGTGATAATTTTCACTATACATTTTCAGAATTACCCAATCAACAATCTCCTATTTTTTTGCTTCTTGCCTCTTTGCCAGGGCCAGCCCAACTCTATCCCTCAGAAAAGCCTCATCCCCACTATTTCACCTGACAAATTCTTCCTCTTCAAATACCATCTGCACTGGAAAGTCTTCTTTAATAATTGTGCCTCACTCTACCACCTTACTTATGCAATAAACCTTACTACAGCAATTCTTTTTTTCTCTCCAGACTCTGACTTCCTCAAGAAACATACCTGCAATACATTAAACATGTAATTCTGATTTACTGAGAGCATCATTACACAGTGAATATATACTATAAAGTGAGTAATGGGAACACCTATTAATAAATATAATAAATGACATATGCATTATTCAACACAGAGTTGAATGACAGGATTGATCTATAAGTAAGAATCTAAATTACGTCATGGACAGTACATATAAAAGGACATTTATATGTACTTTTACCCAGTCATAACCACATGATGGTTCAGAGAAATGGTTACAACTCTCCTGGCCCTGGTTTACTGCCCTGGCAACACGTCTTCAATAGAACCCTAAAAACACCCTTCTGCACCTTCTGCAGTTTTTGTGATGGCTGTCCAACTAACTGACACAGTTGGCTTCTTCAGCTCAAATATTACCTTTCCGAACATCTTCCTTGAGCTTGTGTAGTAAAGCAGCACTCCACCATAACTTCAATCTGTCATGACTCAGAACATGTGTCACTACATGACAACAGTTAATATATTTTATATCAGTCTCCCTCACCTTAATTACCACTTTATTTTCTGTTCATAACCATGCTTGTGTGTCTTATATGGGTACTCAATAGACACCTGTTGAATGAATAAATGAATGAGGGAATGAGAAAGAAAAGGAAGTTTAACCCCAAAACACCATTATCTACTAGCAACAAAATGTGGAATATATGAAGGTACAGACAACAGAATTTATTTCTACCTACAAACTGTTATTCTCTACCTGTGGGGGCTGGGATAGGCATGTGCATTATCCTTCTTCAGGATACTTACTCAGGGGTAGAACTCAACTTACCAAAGTGCCAGGTAATTTCTTATTGAAAAGAAATAATTTCCCTATCAATGGGGGGGGAATGTTAAGGTAGGATAGCCACTAACAAGCAGACTTGCCAAATGACCAGTCCTAGCAAAATAAGCCCCAATTCCACGTAAGCACCATAAACTCTGAAACCAAGACATGCCCAGGACTGCATTCCCAGCACCTAGCACAGTTCACAGCCCCACCGCACATGTGCCAAATGTTCCATAAATGAGCACATTAAGCATAGTCTTACGAGGAAGATTTACTGGAATGTATTTTGTCTATAAATAATGACTAATAGAGTACCAACTAATACCTTCCTCTGAACTTTTCCTTTTTAAGTGTATTTTGGTCAGCTAGGACAGGCCAGAATGTTCAAAGTACAATGAAAAGTGGAGAATTGTACTGTTTTGTATACAGTCATCTATTTGTGATTCCCTCAGCCATAAGATGAAACCGAAGAGTAGTTGAGAAAGAACTGATTTGCTATAGTTCTAATGGACTGGGGGGGCCAATGCACGACAGATCACCTAAACGAAATTAACAAGAGAACACATAAATATTAAACCTATTTCAAACCCTGAGAAGTTGAGAAGTGAGGAAGTTAAAACGCATGCCTGTGACTCTGACATAGACAAGAGAATTTACTATTTGAAAATCACAGGTGTTTCTATATTGGGCAACATTAACTTCACGTGTAGAGATGGGATTACCAACCTCGATCAGCAAAATTGCAAAATTACAGATGTTCAGGGAGTTCAAAGACGGGGCACAGTACCTAATCTTGGTACTGTTTGCTCACTAATCAATATACAGCACACTTTGCAGAGAGCTGACACAATGCAGTGGAGGAAAGTTGCTTAAGAGCAACTCTGGAAAGGCTGTGAACACTTCTCAGCCCACTACTTGGAGATCTCCAGCCCAGGGACTTCCTAACTTGCCTCCACTTTTAAGCACTTACTTTACAGTCAGTTTGTCTTAAAACTCTTCAGGAAGACCGGGGGAGGTAGGGGAAGCAAGCAAGAGCAGGTCCTAAAGGTGAAATTCACGTGTGTGTGTGAGTGTGTGTGTGTGTGTTTCCACAAACAGATGAATGGACAAGGTGACTGGCAAAGGGAAGGGCTCCCAGCGCCGCCACCTCCGGGTCAGCCTGGCACCTGCGCCGCCAAGGGCATGAGGCCGGGACACAGGGGCAGCAGCCCGACCCTAACCGCCCAGCCCACCTGAAGCAGCCGCCGGAGCCGCTGCACGCCGCGGCTTGGCAGGGTTCGGCGAAGGGGCGGCGTGGTGACGGGGCTCGGTGCCCACTCGTCCCTCCAGGCCGAGCTGGGGCGATGCCCGCTGGACCCCCAAGGGCATGAACTACCAAGGTTCGGACGCGGAAGGGTGGAGGGCTGACCCCCAACCTCCTGCAAATCGGGGTCCCTCCGGCCCCCAGTCTCCTCAAAGAGGCGCCCAGGGTCCAGGCACGAGGCAGCCAGGATGGCGGGGGCCGGTACTCACAAAGCCCGCTGGAGCCGGTGCTGGTGAACATGGTCCCGTCGGCCCGGAGCCCCTGTGGGGGGCAGGGGGAGGGGAAGCGGAGGTGGAGAACCCCGGCGGCTGCGCAAGCGCAGTCCCGGCGGGGCCCCGCAAGTCCGCTGGCGCGACGCACTCCGGGACTGCCTAGCGGAAGGCGCATGCGCGGACTTGTGGGGCGCCCGCCCTTCCTGCCAGGAGGGGAAGTGCGTCCGCGGCGGGCGATTCCGCCCTCTCAGGCCTTTCGACAGCTTCGGCGGAAGGTCCTGCTGCTCAGGGCCCTTCTGATGGCTCCTGGCGCCGTTTGGGAAAGGATTAGGGTAGCGCGGAAGGAACGGAGTACACCTCCGTCCTCAAGTGCCCAGCGCCACACTCACGCTCAGTGGAACTGCGGGAGTCAAGGACTCTTCTGGAATACCGGTGCGGGCTCTCCTCGCGACCTCTGACCTCGCCCCGGGCGGGACGCCTGTTGCGTTCCACACCCGTTCTTGACTTCGGGTCAGGCACTAAGTCTCTCCTGAGGACTGCCCGCGACGGTGAGGCCCGCGTCGGGTTCCAGCGACCCCAGGCCCCGGTGGGCATCCTAAAAGCTGCCCGTGTTAGTCGCTTTTTAAAAAACTTCACAGTGGGGCTGGGAAGGTGGCTCAGTGGTAGAGCGCTTGCCTCGCATGCCTGAGGCCCTGGGTTCCATTCCTCAGCACCACATAAGCAGAAAAAGCCGGAAGTGGCGCTGTGTCTCAAGTGGTAGAGTGCTAGCCTTGAGCTGAAGAGCTGAGGGACAGCGCCCCGGCCCAGAGTTCAGGCCCAGGACCTACCAAAAAACAAAACTCTTCACAGAATGGAGTTACTGTTGGATCAAGTCCATATTTTTCAAATGAGGTTGAGCCTGGAAACTTTTCCATTATGCTTTCCTTAAGTAAAGTGTTTCTGAACCGGGCGCCGGTGGCTCACGCCTAGTAAGTAATCTTAGCTACTCAGGAGGCTGAGATCTGAGGATCGCGGTTCAAAGTCATCCCAGACCGGAAAGACCCTGAGACTCCTATCCAATAAACCACTAGAAAAACCGGAAGTGGCGCAGTGGCTCAAGTGGTACAGTGCTCGCCTTGAGCTGAAGAGCTGAGGGACAGCGCCCAGGCCCAGAGTTCGAGCATAAAAAAGAAAAGAGTTTCTGGGGCTGAGGGAAAGTAGCACAGTATTAGGGTTTGATCTCAAGGCTTATGCAGTTGCCAGGCAACTGCCAGGCACTTGGGCCATTTTTCACACACACACGCCCCTCTTTTTTTTTTTCCTTTGGTGCCAGTCCTGGGGCTTGAACCCTGAGCCTGAGCGCTTTTTTGCACAAGGCTATCGCTCTACCACTAGAGCCACAGCTTCATTTCCTGCTTTTGGGTGGTTATTCAGAGATGAGTCTCATGGACTTTTCCACCCGGTCGGCCTTCGGATCGCAGGCCTCAGATCTCAACCTCCTGAGTAGCCAGGATTACAGGCATGAGTCTGAGCACCCAGTTTCCTCTGGTTACTTTTGAAAGAGGGCTTCCCTCCCTAGCTGGGATGACATGCATGCGTCAAACTCAGCGTTCTCTTTTGCCTTTGGGTGTCACTGTTCTCCCAGGCCGACCTGACTCCAGCTGCAGCCTGTTGTATTGCTGAGATGGCAGATGCTGCCTCACTTCTTTCTGTTGAGATTGGTGGTCTTGTGAACTCTTTTGTCCCTCTGGCCTCAGCTCTTGTTTGAGATGGTGTCTTGAAAACTTTTGTTGTGGCTAGCCATAAGTAGCTAGGGTTACAGTGTGAGCCACCAGTACCAGGTCTAAATATTTTTAAAGAGTACATACAGTAAGGGAAATGGCCCCAAATCAAGCGAAGAGACTGCAAAACTACGCCATGTTTTCTAAAGTGAAAAAGACAACTACTTCAAGAGTTTATAAGTTCCTGCCTTTGTGCTAAACATGGGATTAATGAAGCAATAAAATACAACATGCCCTAAAGAGATTCCATTGATTATATCTAGGAGATAAATTACAGGCAATTTTTAAATTACTTCTAGACTTTATTTGTAACTTAAAATCTTGAGATGCATTTTACATTTATTTTTAGATTAATGCTATTGAATTATTTTGCAGAAAAAAAAATCAAAAACTTAAAGGTGTCATATCTACAGTAGCAGCAAACCTGTAACATGGCAGTGGTTCTCAAAGTGGGTGGAAAGACCCATGACCCTTCAGCGTGGACCAGAAGTAATGCTGTAACACTATTTCTCTTTTCCTACTCTTATTCACTCAAGCATATGTAGTGGAGTTTTCCATTGTACAGTTGGAAAAAATGCATAACTATAACCTGTGTTTTCCAGTTGACTAGTTCCTCATGAAGTCATATAGTAACAATTTTAACTGCAGTAAATGTTAGTGTACATAGCACAAAAAGTTCATTGGTACAGTGTCAAATGCTTGATTACAACAAATTTAGAGAAACTGCCACTTAATGTGGCAGTGTAATCTGAAAAGGCTATTAAATGCTTGCTCTTCTAATTACATACATCCTTGAGATGAGCTTTGTTTTATATACTTTAACAAAAACAATAGATCACAAACTAAAAGCAGAAGTGCATAGGAAGTACCAGCCAACTTATGTTAAGATTTATGTACATTTGCCAAAATGCGTAAGGAAGCTCTTCTTTCTCGTATTTTTTTTCTTAAAGCAGTATAGCATCTAGTTGAATGTTAGAACGCATCTATAGTACAGCTTTGTTCTAATCCATATAATTAAATCTATAATGATTAAATGAACTTAAAGATTGGCAAAGATAGACACTTTGAAGATTTATGAAAAGCTTGAAAATGATAGTATGTCCCAGGAATTTGTTTTGGAATGTCACCTGATATAAGTTCTATTTCTTAGAAAGTAACAATTTGCAATAATCTAAATTATGGAAGGATTAGTATTATATGCTACCTAAGAGGTTGTTAATGATAATAAATGTAAATCCTTTCATTCTATTGAACAATGATTAGTGTAGAGGGACCTGCATGACACAGGTAAAAAATAATTAACTGTGAAATGATCTGCAGTCAGAATTTTTGTTGCAAATGAATACAGGTGTGTATGATAATAAAGTTTGGCTCCCTGTGAATGCATGATTCATAGAGCATGAAAACATTGACTGGAAAACTTTTTTTCTTTTCCAACATCATTGTGCAATAGTTGGAGTAGGGAGTATTGTCAGCAGACAAATAATGTATTACCTAACATGTACAGGAAATGTTTTCTTAATTTTTATTAAGTAATTTGTACAAAGAAGTTACAATTCCATATTTAGGTCATGAGCACAATGCATCTTGATCAATGCCACCCCTCCATTATTAGGAAATGTTATTAAGATTAAAGTTTGATACACAAAAAGATTATTTTATCTAACTGTAAAGGTTGGGAATCAGATAAGACTTCCATTCAACTGCCTTTAAAAATAGGAGGGGCAGTGTTTATTATGTTATTCTAGCTGCACATTGAAAAGGATTTCAGTTCAGGGAACAATCACTCCAAAAGTAACAAAATATAACAGGACACTTGGCATTCCTTTTAACAGAATTAGGACCTTATTAAGTTTCATTAATGAAAGTAAAATGTTGCATGTCATTGCCTTCATTTAGGGTCTGTCTACAGACTCAGACAATGTTGGAGATACTAACAGTTCATCTGAGAAGCAGTCCTAGTGATTGACCAGTGGCAGGGTGGAGAAGAATGAAAGTTCATAGAAACAAATTATACAAATTTACCCTGGGTATGGAGGTGCTAGCCTGTAGTTCCGGCCCTGGAGGGACTAAGGAAGGAGGATCTTGAGTTCCAGGCCAGCTTGGGCTACATAAGTAAGACCCTGTCTCACAAATACCACCCTAGCACTAATGGACAACTGGGGCCTAATCCCTCTGAGAAATCTTGGAAGCAAGGTCCTTGAGTAACCAGCAATGGACAAGGGAGCTAGGGTTATTTACCCACTGACTCCATCAGTCACTGAGATTACTCCAGTAGCAGAGGCCATTCCCCCGACATGTAGCCTGGCACATGAGTAACCAGAGAGGCTCCAGTGGCAGGGCAAGTCCATTGCTAAGAGCTTCAGTAGGAAAGATTGCCCAGGTGCAGCAAAGGCTCAGAGACAGGGCAGGATACCAAAAGAATCTCCTGCGCTGTCCTGCCTAGGCCTTTCTCGGATGTTGTGAAGGGGGTGGTGGGAGTAGTCTGACTCCCTACCTCCTACCTGCCTGCCATACTGACCTTAGAAGCCCACCACACCTTTTTTTTTCTGGAGTCTTTTCTCTTTTCCATTTCATCTGTTTCCTACCACATTGCAAAGGATGTGGTCTGCACGGTCTTTTCAACTTCTAGAGATAGAACAGGTACCTCATATGTAGTGGGATTTCAGAAGAGGGTACGTTTTGTGTGAAACTTCACAACCCCTTCGAAATGCAGGGAAACATACAGAGCCCTCACAGTTATGAGACTGCCATTACTTCCTTGTCTTTCACACCCGGCCTACTCAGGGTTGGAGGCTAAGTTTTCTTTCTCACATCACATGCAAGCATATCTGACCTTTTGACTCAAGATGTTCTCATTCATCCTACCTTGTTCTTTTTTTTCTTGCTCTGCATCATACCATAGATCTTCCATCTTTCTATTCATTGTGGGCACCAAGATTTCCAATATTCTTACATGTCATACATAAGCAAAACTATAGGTAGGTTTGGTCATTGTCTCCTACTCTTATTACATGCCAACACCTACCAATAAAAAGATGTGTCATTTTGCTACAAATTCTTTTTCCTTTGTTTCTTCTTTTTAATGAAATAAGGGTATTACATAGATTATTAAAATTACAGCATATTTTCTTTGGGTTTCATTTAAGATAGTAAAAGAAAACTTATAGGATAGGTGCTATGGCTCAAGCCTGTTACTCTACCTACTTTGTAGGAAAAGGTCAGCAGAATCAAGGTTCAAAGCCAGCCTGGGCATAAAAGTTCATGAAGCTCCATGTCAACCAAGTGGCTGGATGTGAGGACATGTACCTGCCATTCCCAGAGACACGAGGAAGCATAAGCAAAAGCACTGCAACTCAGACCCTATCTTGAAAATAGCCAATGCAAAAAGGG